CACCAGCCCACTGCACCACACGCCTCCCCAAAGAGGTTTAAAAGAAAGTTTACTGTAAATAAATGCCACGTTGTTTTTTATGAGCGATCATTCTTTTCCTATGGAGGCATCTGTATGTTTCCAAGAGTAACAACGTCCCCAACCTCAGGGCACAGGGGTGCATTCTGTGCTGAGAGGAGTTCTTTTGTCTTTTTGTCAAAAAAAGTGTCTTATAAAGAGGCAAATTGTGGCAAAAATATTGTAGTTTGTACAAACCCTTAATGTATATGACGTTACCCAGTTTGTTCATTCAGTAGAAGCTGACATATTTTTTTCTTTATGTGTTTGCTGTCATTTAAAGATGACCTATACTGCAAAATGCGCTTTTGTACGTCTTTTATACGTGAATGTGTCCCCGGGGTTCTAGGGAACTCACCAAGTGTCAGAAAACACAACCCTCTCTATTTCCCTCCGTACCCAAATCTCTAAAAAAGGGGCTCCAACGGATCTGATACAGACTGATCCAGATTTGAACACTTCTATGACGTCACAGAAGTGGCGCTACGGCTATTGGGCCAACTCCACCAATCAGGAGGAGACAGCCACGGACATTGCCGTTCGAAAGCGCTGGAGACGCTGTAGTACATATGCCAGGCCTGTAGATGGTGCTGTTCTCACAGAATCAGCCCATGCAAAGACAGTGTTAAATTGAGCGAAATGAGGAATGGCTAAAATGCATGATCTGTTTGGTATTTTGAAAAATAAAAAGTATAAATATGCCTTCATATAAGTATGGTCCTAGACTATATTATTCAAATATAGCATGATAGGTCCACTTTAAAACACAGAGTCTTTAAGAATTGTCTAAAATGGGATGGAGCTTTTTGTGGCATTATGACAAAAACCTGACTTTCTTTATTCCGATGAGCACTTCAGGGGGAAAGGAAATAAGATGTGAATTCAGTCAGATTAAAGGAATAATATATAAATATTGTCAAAACGGTGACACTTGTCTGAAAACAAAGGATATTTATTTCACAAAGTTTGTGTTGTTTGAAAAGGTTGAGAAGCTTTTGTTTAAAAATCATTATTTTTTTTTCATCACTTTTGTAGTGTGTTACCAAATAGATAAAAAATAGCAGGTAAACTTAAAATTAAAAACAATAAATACATTAGGATTCAATTAGTCACAGAAAAATGACAAATACAAATGTCTCACTGTACACTCAAGCCTACACACCTCTCTTGTTTTAAATACAGGATCTTGTTTACACTCTGATTTGGATGAACGGCCTGAGATTTGCAGCCATTACAATTCAAAGCATGTTTGTCTTGATCATCAGCACCAGCTGCATGTTTCTCTGGTGCTGCTCCCTCCACATAAACACACCAACTGTTCCTCCATCCACAATCAGAGCGGCCCTCTCATTAACAACAGGCTCTGCCTCTCCTCCTCAAAACATGCTCTGCCTTTTGAAAATCCTCAGCTTAGTCAGAAATGTAAAGTAGATAAAAGTCAGGCTCACCAGCACATTTTTCAACGTGTACAACACGGGTGTGACATAACCAAACACGAGAATGAGAGCGACTCTAAAGACGAAGAAAGGAAGGTCCTGCAGAGCGACTCCGGCAGAACACAACAGAGGGTTCTGAGGAGTGATGATCATACGGAGAGTGGACATGAAGGCCAGGATGTAGACGGGGAACACCCAGACCGAGTAGAAGATCAGCGGCTCTCCTGCCGCTCTCACCATCTCCACCGTGTCAAACCAGAACAGGAAACAATCCACCAGCACCTCTGACCTCATGTCCCTGCGCCACAGGAAGCCCAGAGGACCGGAGTAGGACATCCGACGTGAGGAAGAGGAGTAGAGGTAGGCGGCGGTGTGTGTGGGACGGCTGGGGGAGCCAGGGGGGTCGGACCATCTGCCCGAGGGTCCGCCGTTCCTGACCTCTGGGGTCACAGCGCTCTGACCTTCATCATCGTCAGCGGGCAGCTGGGCTGTGACGGTGCTCACCGACCCCAGGTGGGTGAGGACCGGGCCGGGCATCTCGAGGTCAGACTCCAGGCTGTCTGCTGCGGATTACAAGGAATCAAACTGTTAAAGTTGCAGATCGTGGATAAACTGAAACACAAACATTATAAAGGGAAGTTAGTGTTTTGAAAAGTATGTGTTTCAAGGGGGTTGATTTTTTTTAACGTAGTTTCAAAGTGCTGTAGAATCTTATTTGGACATACAGTCAATGTCTATCCCGGCTAGAAAAGGAAAAATGTATTCAGGCATGTTATTATAGGTGTTAAACAGTAAACTACATTTTGAAACAGGGGTCTTTGCAGACACCTTAGGGACACCTGAGGAAACTGATCAAATGTTGGTACGACAATAACTGTTTAGACTAGAGTAATGAACCGCTGATTTTTTACAGCAGACATTGTGAGTTGTTAAAGTAGGAAAAACACACGTTACAAATACCCTTAAAAGCAATAGTAGGAATTGTTTGAAGAGAGGTTGATTAATGTTCGTATCCATAGTCAGTAAAACACCAAAGTCACTGAATAACACAAACTGAAGCAGGCAGGTGTAGACCAGCAACTTCTGCATTCTGCGAGTTAAAATTACAGATTTTTCTCAAAGGAGTTTGGTGGCTTTGAAGAGAGCATAGATAACGGTCTACCCCATCGCCATCTTCTGTAGGTTATACCCTCACTGACTAGGTTACGTTAAACCCAGCTTCAAACCATCCCTTTGAGCAGCTGCACATTTCATTATTCACACTTTTCCTTGTCAAAAATATCTACTGGATCAAAGACTTTAATCTATTTGATCTCAAACAACATAAAACCAAAACACTTCAAATGCATAGACATAAACATGATTTAATTTTTAACTCTACCAAAAACTCACATGGTCCCATGAGCTTGCAGGGGCGGATCCTCTCGATGATGTCCACACAGATGAGGGAGAAAAGCACCAAGGAAACAGGCAACTCAGTAAAATGGTCGAGCGTGAGTCCTCTGTCCACCTGCACCTGAAGTACAACCCATTACAGGAACAGAAAAAAAAGAATAGTAAATTCAATAGGACCGAGAACTGACCTGCCTCTTATAAATCATGAGTAATGAAGCCGGATGAAACTGAATCCAAACCATTCATTAACGCATTTGGCTGGACTGAGAAAGAGGAGCCGAGTTTTATGAAGCCATCCAATTTAACCACCCCATCATTATAGAAATAAAATGCTGCTATAAAGTCACTTAAGACAAGCTGAAGAAGTATTAGATGGTGTTATTAAATGTATGATGTGTCTGACAGGTCTTTGTGTAGCCAAATGATCTTATTTATGTCATCGCCAAGGAGGATTGTCAAGGAATAAAAGAAAACACGTCGCATTTGTGTAAAGATTCCTGTCTGTTTTCAGAGGGGAGGATGGTACTTAAGTTTGGGTTAATGGCCAACCTGTTATGTTCACTGTGGGTTACTGAATACCCCAGACACAGCGTGCAGTCATGTGACAGTGGACACATTTCCTCTGTGGTTTACAAATGTGCCAAAGTCCCTCTCAATACACAGGGAGAAAAATATTTGGATGCAACCTCCAGAGGCAAAATATCAGGACACTTGGTGACAAGCAATCAGTTTCTTTCTCTCAGGTGCAATGTGCCGTGTCGACCATCGCTCAGTGAATAATAATAGTTCCCCAAGCACATACACAAGGGGGTCATAAAACCATCCGGTGCCTCAAATGGACTGTTTACAACAAATATGGCTGTTCAAGGACCCCGTCGGAGCGTGACAGAACGCAACATCAACAGGTGCTTCTCTGTGACAAGAGCCATCCGTCTGTGTGAGTCTACCTTGGAGCTGGCTATTAATATGGCAAAGCACGGGAATGTGCACAGCATGAGATACGCCAGCGCTGTCGGCCTCCTGAAAGACAGAACGGGGAGATTTGAGTCAATCTGATTAACAGTTAGCCCGGTGTAAGGAATCATTGTTGAAAGTGCTTTTCTGAATGTATAAACTGCATTTCTTAGTGTTATTGTCTGATTTATGTTGTTACGTTAAAGGAAAATTGTTGAATAGATTTACTTTTACAATTATGTAGATACTTGGGTATTGTGTGCCATTTTATACACATTCCATATCATTAGGAAGCACATATGGAACTTTTTACTCTTGTAGAATAAAGGGAGATCATGTAACTTTCGATAAACAATGTCACATAATCATGGGATGATGTTAGAGCCATAATGCCTAAAACACTCAGTGACATCAGCAAGAAAGCAGTATCTAGCTACATTCGGCTAACATTAGCCACCATAAGCTAGTGATCATAACAGACCAAGTCACACCTGTACCCTTAAAACCCCTGTGAGTGTATCTTAGCAAGGATTTCTTTATTGTTTATGATTTCAGAAAAAGTGAAAACAAAACATATACAATATGATACTTTGTTAATGACTAAGCAACAAAACAGTAGTTAAAATTAGGTCCACATAAAACATCAGCAGTCATTTTGCCTCATGGACACTTTTTGATATTTTGAAGTCAATTCTGATAATATTTCTGAATGCAGGACGTAACTGTCACAAGGTGTTTTTGTGTTGCAGTGTTGTTGCTTTTACTTAGAAGCTTCAGTGTTCCCTTTCACTTCTGCATTGTTAGAGCAAGTACATTCTATTCTGAGTAAGCCAAAATCCAAAACCTACCCTAAAAAGGTTTGTTCTCTCTCCTAACCATTCTGACTGACATTGATTTAAGTTCTTCCCAATGGCTGTACTCACCACTGTGTGATCTCCGTGATAAACCTCCTCTTCTTCAGGATCAGATACTTCAGAGGCACCCACACCAGCAGGGTCACGGAGGTTACGTAGGCGACCGAGGCGGCCACCACCAGCCAGTAGGCCGTCAGATCCCCCCCTCTCACGTCCCGTATGAGGCTGGCAAACCTCTCCATCATCACAAAGACCGGTATGACGAGGGCCGCGAACTGCAGCACCTCGTACAGGACGAACTTCAGAGTCTTCCCAGAGGGCATCGTCTCTGAAAACCAGTCGCTGGTCTGAAAAGACTTCGACAATCATCTCCCACAAAGTGAGCGGACGAGCTGTTGGACTCTGCTCACTGACACTGCTTACACTGCACTGGAGGCTGTATTCTTTTATTGCCGAGGTAATGAGGTGGTCACGCTCGCCTTTTTATGGGCCCACAAAAAAAAAAAAAGTCATCCCATCCCATAATTTCAAGGAGATGGTACGTTCTGGAAAAATGCACGGTTACTTTGAGACTCAAGTTTTAACATGTTTTTTGAAGAATTGAGTAATCAAGACATTGTTGAAATAAAGAAACTTTCAATAAAACAACAGTGATGAGACTTTAAAAGAATCCTCATTAATACACTTAAAATGCCACTTTCAAAATCAGTGTCGTTGTCTTTAGCTGCTAAACAAAGCTGTCTTTTGTTGGGGACACTTAACATCTCTTCCCTTGAGCCTTGTTAGAGAACACACACACACACACACACACACACACACACACACACACACACACACACACACACACACACACACACACACACACACACACACACACACACACACACACACACACACACACACACACACACACACACACACACACACACAAAATGTTAAGTATTTCTTAACACTTCACTTTAACAGGTTTAACAAAAAGGTAGAATGTATAGCAGGACCGTTTAACTGCACTTGTTTTAGATTAAAGTACAAGCTAAATTAAGTGTATATTTTTAACAGTCCAAACATCAATGAAAGTGCTTCATTAGTACTGTATTGCAAGATAAGCAAACAACCCCAAAATGGTCATGATTTGATCAAAAATGTTGCAAAACTCTGATCGGCGGCAACACCTGTTCTCCTGGATCGCCTACTTCACACAAGTGAGAAACGCTACAGATTCATACTTAAAGCTGTTCTAAACTCCCAACGGAAATATTGTTCATATTGTGAAAAGGAACAAGCATGCATAACAATGTCTCCTTTAAAATGTCTCTCAGTAGTGAAACAGTTTAAGAAGCAAATGAAACAAAAATAAAAACACATTTTACAAATCCATTAAGTGCTTTGAAAACAAGAGAACAAGGCTGTTCATATTATTCTGTACATTTGGCCTGGTTTTATTGTGAATACCAATTAATAAGTATGGTTAAATAATACATACAAACAGCAGGATACAAGATTAGACTGAACCTTTACAATAAGTGTGTTTAAAACTTAAAAACAGGCGGCATCTCAATCCTGTGCAGGTCACACCGGGGCTGCAGTGCAACAACATGTTAGATTTGGATATGAGGGGGAATTACTGGCTCCTGTCCCAGAACAGCTGCTACCTTTGAATATATTCAGCCCTCTTTGACTCAACAGATTAACACTACTCCACTCTTTAGTTGAAGGCAGCAAAAGAAAGATATCTTGTCTTTCAAATCAACTTTAGGAATGCTAAAATCTGAACAGTTCGAGAGAATTGAATGGCCTCCTAGTCCCAGAGCTGAATTTGGAGGGTGTTATATATTCTTAAAAGGTGGCACAGGGGTGGCAAGGAGGAGAAATTGAAATGACACACAAATCAGATCAGCACACATTTGTCCTGATTTCATTGGATCATAACTCCTTCATGTAGCATCATTCAATATTAAACAACAGATACATAATATTCCTGTTTCTTCAAAACTTCAAACCAGTCAGTGTTTGAAAAACTTCATTAGATCCACAGGTGTCACTGTAACGGAGCTCCTTAGAGAAACACGTGTTGACGGTGCTGTCCAGAATCATAAATCCTTATTTCGGTTCTTTTTCAGGTAGAATTTGTTTTAGTGTTAGACAGCTTCGAGAAAGGGTTTGAAATGCAATGGGGGGGAGGTACGATCCGTTTTTTTCACATTACCATTTGACCCTACAGTACAATAAGCATGTATCAAACACTGAGAGAAATGTCCATGTTCTCATGTGAGCGATTTAAATATACAACTAAGTTAGACAGAATATTACATATTCCACTTTTCTCTGAATACATACAATCCTGAACTGCTTCTCCATTTAAAATAGCATAACAATAATCAAAACATACATTAAAATGCACTACAAAAAAACCCACATAGTATTCATTTCTTAACACTGACTAGAGATGCTTTAAAGACACTGGGGCTGTTCGGAGAGGGCGCCCCTTAGTGGCCGTTAGCACAGCGCCTGAATGGAGATGGAGCAAACCCACAACAAGGACGTAGAGCTGCTCATTTTTTAAAAGGAAAACTCTGCAGTTTGATGAAAAGGGTGAGTTATGTTGAGAAAATACAAATAAAAGAGCAAATATCTTGTTTTCTGGCAGATTTCACTTTGTTCTTTTTTGGCTTTTACACCTTCAGTTCAGCGGGGAGATCCTGACTGCAGAGTTCACCTCTAAGGCTGAGAGAATCACTCGGCGCTGTGCTAACATCCCGACCGACAATGAACTCGTCACGTGGCGTCACTACGAGTTTGGTACAGTATATACAGGAGTCATGTGCATGCTTCAATTCCTCCGGTTTCTTCTTCCCTCCAAAATAACAAAGTGGCTTCAGTTTTCAGTACTTCTAAAAGTTGACGACATATACAGAATGTAGTGACCTAACGTTTGCAGCATCGCTAAAAGTCCTTTTTCTGAAAAAACCCAAAGTGAAAGTAAGTCGACGCCCCTTTTTTTGGGTGACACCATTAGCACTGCAGGGGCTTTAAGTGTGTGGGAAGGCTGCGGCATGTTAGTGTGTCAGTGACGTTCAATGATAACACTGCTGAGGATGTGTGGACCACCTGGTGCAACTGTGTGTGTGTGTGTGTGTGTGTGTGTGTGTGTCTGTACACCTGCCTGTAGTGTGTATGTAGCTCCAGTGTGCATCTTGAAAGGTGGTGAGAAGGAATGCCCGTGTGTATTTCACACTTGATCAAATAGTTTCTTTTTGTTGAAACGGCTGCACGAACACTTTCTATCTCAGAGCATTTTTGTTAACACTTTATATTAAAGGATTGTTACTTGTTACCAATTTTCAAGGAAGTTTCTATGAACAAACTGTGGACTTTGATACTAAATTAAAAAGGTTAAATACTGTACATAACATATCAATCCACTTCTAATTAATCAATTAAAAATAAGCGTAACCTACAACGTTTTGAAATCATTACACAGTATGTTTGCTGAACATGCAAAAATATATACAGTTCGAAAAATAAAGTTTGCAATGATATAGGGCTAATGAATGAATGAATATTTACTTCTTAGCTTTTCATTAGGGCAAATCAATTAATGTTGCATCACTTCCTCTTTTATTGGTATCAAATATGTTCCAACCCATAAAATAAAGCATTACCGCAATGTTCCCATAGCCCTATTGTTAAAAGGAAGCAATAGATGCAGGTTTTGCATATACAAATGGAGAATGCAAATATTGATATCAGGTCTAGATTTAGAAGTGATCAGGCTTGAGTGATGAACAAATCCTAAAAGAAAGTGCAACTAAAGATAAAAGTGCAACTGGAGGCTCCTCTGAGTCTTCACCTCTGAGTCATGTAAAGATACGGAGAAGAGTGAAACATCCTTAACTAAAAACCTGGAGTGAGAAGTATAACAGTATATTTACCTGCCAGATAAAACCACACAGAGTGCCCAATGATAGCGTTATTCTACTCTTAAATGATTCCATGATAAAACAAATCTAAGTGTAACATAAGAGATGATGCACGGCTGCAGGTGTGGTGCATGTGTTTGCGTGTGAGGGTAACGGGGATCTGAGGGGCCCTATAGCAGGGCTTGCTCTGAGGAAGGGGCTATGCTCTGGCCGGAGGCGTTGCTGTAGTTTGGCGTCTGCGTCATGCAGGGGCCCGGGGCCCCCCCTGCACTCTGGTAGGCCTGCATGTCTGCAGGGGCCACGCTGCCTGGAGCTGCAGTGTAGACCGGCGGCTGGCCCATGTACATATGAACATCACTATGAAGAAGAGTGAAGCAACATTACATTTGACACCACAGTAAGTTGTAATCATTAGAGAGTCGGTGAAAAGTACAATTCCTGTATTTAAAAAATGATATTATTACAGGGCATACACAATCGAATGAAATGGTTATAAAAATAGAATATCTACAAATCAGAAAAATAGTGAAAAAATAATAATAATGTAAAGGAACCAGTTTCCAGATTAAGGATACATTGGCATATCAAATCAAGTAATTGGAAAGGTTTTGTGTTGCTTTATACAGAATGAGGAGGAGGCTCACCTGGGGGCCGGCTGTCCAGGAATAGGGGGGCCCGCTGGGAGCTGCTCCATAGGAACAGAGTAACCCTGCACTGCGGGGCCGCTCATGGCGTAAGAACCTGATGCAGGCTGACCTGGGTACACCTGGGGAGAATGTTAACACGAGAGTAAGTCTAACACCAACCCTTTTTAAACCAGTAGGGTGGTCACCTGACGTGAGAGAGACGGTCACCTGATGGGAGAGAGACGGTACCTGCTGCGCTGCGTTGCCCGGCTGCTGCATGTAGTACTGTTGGCTCTGGAGCTTGGCGTACATGGCGTAAACCGGATCGTCATTCATTATCTTGGCGTACAGAGACAGAGCCTCCATCACCTTCACATTCAGCTCCGACAGCTCCGAGTGCTTCCTGATGAGACCAACCCCGAACACAAGAAAACCACATCAACTGAATATTCATGACATGGATAATCCACACAGGTCAGTGCTATATGTTTTCATCTCTTCTGTACATTGTACCTGTCTATATCATCCAACTTCTGGTCGATGAGCGGTCCCATTTGATTGCAGGCACCTAATGAAAAATACAAAAGCAGTTGCCAATTTAAAAATAACACACCTTTACATAAAATAACTAATGCTGTCAAAATTATTGCGTTAACGGCGGTAATTAATTTTTTGAATTAATTGCGTTAAAATATTTTACGCATTTAACGCATGCGCAGAATGGCCCGCCCCATACATCCCACCAGTGGCAGCGCCAGGGTATGGCTGGGGTAGGCTACAGCCATACCAAGAAATGGCTTAGCCCCACCATGAAAAATGATGTTAAAGTAAGCAAAATAAAGTCTGCCAACTCGCGGAGTAAATTGCACAGACAGCAGTTAGTAAGATTGATTTCAGTAGCCACTTGTCTGGAAATACCGAAGACTAGAAACGGTTTTGAAAACTTTTGTCACGTAGTGATCGTCTTCTCAATAGAACATCTTTGATAATGTCTTCTGGCCAATCAGAATCAAGATAACGGCGTGGTGTTGTTGCAGGAAGTCCTGACGGAGAATACTTTTGCGGTAGTACATCTCTATATACATCGATACAACATTACGTGTTGATAGAAATCAACACGTAATGAATTAAGACCCCACGGTTTGATGATTGATAGGTGTGTGGGCTGTCTTTCATTTTGACACACAGAACAATGTTATAATAAACATACATACTGTATGTTAAATGGATATATCCGCCTTCTTTCATTTATCTTTCCATTCCCACAACAATATGCATAAATAAATGGCATATTTTGGACATAGTTCAAATGGTGATTAATCATGATTAATTCTTTTTAAGCTGTGATTAATCTGATTAAAATGTTAATCGTTTGACAACCCTAAAAATAACAGATTAGCTTCTGCAAGCTGATAGGCGTTTTGGCCTCCCTTACATTCCCTAAATCCAGTGTACCTTCCAGCTGTAGTAGCTCCACGCTGTCCGACTGGTTGTCTGTGGGATCGGCACTCTGGATCATCTGCAGCAGCTGGTCCATTTTGTCCTGAAAGATTTCAACAAAAATTCCTCTGATGACCCTTTTAATGTGACGAGTCCATCTTTCATCCGGGTAAGAAACAAACAAGTTCACCTTGTAACATCTTATCTATGTTAATCTGTGGTTTATACCAGCAGGAGACACATTCAATGAAATCCTATTTTGGTACAAAACTCTTAATTGCTGCTACAGTGGATCTCAATGAGGCAGGAAAAGCTTAGTGAGCAGCATACCATGTTCACACACTTACTTCGTCTATAAACACAGACTCCTGCTCGGGCTCTATGGTCTCCACCTGGACTTCCTCACTGAACTGGACAGACTTCTTCTCCGTCTTCACTGTAGATGTCCATGTAACAGCGAAAACGGCAGCAGCAAAACAATGCAACAGTAGCATCAGTAAAACGTATATAAGAGGGCAGGATGCGCTCAATGGACACTCAGTTACAGTCCAGTACCAGCACAAAAGATTGTTCCAGATATTAAAAGGAAAATAAAAATGTTATGGATAAATTGTCTTGAATTGTCATGTTCACAATTGTATAATTACTGTTTTTCAACCTGCTTTAACAAGAAGTAGCGACAACACAAACATTGTTATAGGATGTGATCATGAAAACAACGTAGAAAACAACATTAGATTCTCCATCAATACGGCAGAAAGTGAGAGTGGTTGCATCACAATCAGACTCCACAATGTTATCAGAGTAACACTGGCTTGACTTCTCAGAAATACAGACCGTGTTTTACTGCATCACACAGCACCAACTGTCTGCAACACATGGAGAGATTGTTCTCTGCATTGTTTTGTGTGTAGTGTGTGTGTGTGTGTGTGTGTGTGTGTGTGTGTGTGTGTGTGTGTGTGTGTATACACTCACTCATCTCTGGCTCTGCAGTGAGGTCGGCGGTGACAAAGTTAGAGGGGAACAAACCCACTCCCTGGTACGTTTCCCCTTTCCACCAGTTGGGGTCACTGAAACAANGGAGAAACCAGCTCGAGTGCGCTACAATTAGAAAATACACAGCCGGAACAAATCTGCCACTTCCTCACAGAGCCCCTCCTCCAACACACACGAATGCGCACATGACCAATGAGGGCACGAAATAAGTGCACAGATGGAAGGCTGACAGGCAGGTAGGCCATCCAGTCATTTTACCCGGGCCGGCTAAAATGATTGGTTGTGCTTTTTACAGTACTACGGCTTCCACAGATGACATTTTTTCATGGATTTTTTGTAGGGATGCACCGAATATTCGGCCACCGAAAATTATCGGCCGAAAATAGTTAAAAAGGCCGAAAGCCGAAAGGGTTTTAGCACCGAAATAATATCACCGAATGTCAGAGAACAGGGTTACGTTGATCATACTCTGCATATTTGTCCGGGTGTTTTGATTTCAAGTGGTGGAGTAATCCCGAAGTGGTGAAAGTCTTTGCAGTTACACCCCCTCGAGAAATGTCAGCTGAACATGTTTTACAAATCGCAATCCGCGCCTCTTTCTCTGATATTTTGAAATATCTCCAAGCGGCAGACATGTTGGCTGTTTGCCAGCCGCTTTTACAATAAATAAACATTGAATGTGTTTAATTGAATAGGAAAGGGGTTTAACGTTAGTGGCAGGTTGTGTGTGAGAGAGAATAATTAAAGCAGGCCAATATTAAAAAAAAAAATCTATTCTTATTTCGCAACTTTCCGCATATTTCGCAACTTCCCGCAATTTCACCGCATAAAATCACATAAAAGCCCTGCATGTTTAATCGCATAATCAAGGATTTTAGCCCGCGTTTTTCTGGAGGGTCTACAAAGCACTTAAGATATTCATTGCTATCGGGATGTTAAGAGCATTCCATGGAATATAACAAAAAGTGTATCTCGAGCCGGTTTCTCAAACTTACCTAGCCCACCTTTAAAGGGTTGCTATGCATGTGTTTTAAGGATAACACAAATACATTTAAATAAGCATTTCTTTGTTCTGATAATCAGCTATACGCCTCCTTACCTTTGGCCAAGTCGTCTTCTTCTTTCTTTTTTGTTGAGGTGGAGGGATCCTTTGCCACTAAAGCAGGGCTTGCTTTTGCTTGCTCTGCAGCCTGTGGAAGAATAATGATGTCTCATCGTTCAAAGGCAAAATGAGGGGGGTCACAGTGCTCCACAGAGGGTGAAAGTCAACCCCAGGTTTACTCTTGTTTTGGAACCTGTTTTCTTAGCTATGCATATCCATTTATGTATTTTCCTATGGATGCGTGCTTACGATCTGGTTCCTAGTTGCTTTGTTTTTTCTAAGTGTCGGCCCACAAATGTCCCAAACACATCAAAACCAGACAAGGGCAGTAAGTCTGCAGGTATAGAGGCTACACACATCTATTAAGTCACAACTGAGAGGGATTAGTAATAAGTCAATTCATTGTGTTTTATGGAAATCCTACTCATTGTGCCTTTAACTTCAAAATCCCAACATTTAATTTCTATAAATTGTGACATAATTTTTGGTCATTTATTAGGAAATGTAAAGTGGAATGCAAGAGGGGTTCGGCAAGCAAGAAAAGAGCTCAGCCGCTAAACAAAATGGAGATGTCTTAGTCGTATAATATGGCTTTTAACTACTAGCCCACTAAGATGTCCATATTTACAGCAATTGATAGATTTGATCTCAAATAGAGTAAAAACCAACAACCTCTCTTTCGCACCCCTCCCACCTACCTGGGACCCGACGGCTGGGAAAGTGACTCCTTGCTCGCGTAGATTCTTGATCATAGCTGAGATGAGGCTGAGTTGGGGATCGTTGCGGAAGTCCTCGGCCCACTCCACCATCAGGGCTTTCAGCTTCTCACACACTTTGGGGTGGCCCTGGGGACATCCGTAAAAAGGCACAGCATGAGAACAAGAAACTGGATGCACCATGACCTAATTACAAAGAGTAGAAACTAATACATTGCCATCATCACACACCTTGTTTAAGACGTTACTGACTTCACTGGCAAACTCTCTGGAGCACACCTCCAAATGGAATATCTTCCCACAGTTTGAGACACAAGCACCAAGGAGCTGTGAGGACAAACAACTCATTAGAATCACCATTTCATCCAGAGCAACAAGTGACAAACATCAACTGATATTAGAAAACAGCTAGTTACAACACAAGCTCATATCTCAGTTAAGATTGATTAGGGTTAGATAAAAAAAAAGGAGACTATGTGATTCTCCCGAGAACCAAATGATATTATATAATCTGCTCACAGTCAATGCCTGCATGGCCACATGAGGGTCCTTGTGATTCACTCTTCTCATAATAGAGCGGAGACATTCTTTAGGCCTGCAACAGAATGGTAAAAAAGGTTAATTGTTTGGCAAGGACGAAAAAACTATGCTTGCAGCCATGGGCGTAATTTCCACTGGGGATAGGGGGGACATGTCCCCCCCACTTTTCAAAATCCTGTTTGTGTCCCCCCCACTTTTAAAATGTGTTTATTATAATTTTTTTACGCAAGCGGTCATCGTCACGGAGGAGCACACAGCGTCTGTGTGTGTGTGTGTGTGTGGCACGAGCACATTTTGTGTGAGTGTGCGAGCGAGAGAGAGAGAGAGAGAGACAGTGGCCGTTTCTCAATGTCGAGTATACCTGCTGCAGAGCCACTATTTCAAGTATACTACGTCATCGAGTGGCGCCGAATGCTGGGTACTTAACATGCATGTTAGGCCCGCCGCCTCTCCGGCCCTGTTAATTCTGTTTTGAATGTGTTCTATGTAAATGAGCTGTGCGGTTGCCCTGCTGTCATTGGCTACCCATCCCCTGGTCTGCACCGAAGACTGTGATTGGAGCTGATGGGCCCGACGCGCTCCAATCGCAGCGCACATCCAGCGCACACCTTCTGGGGGGGGACTACAAAGCCGGTCGACTGTGATCATTCGGGAGGCTCTGTTGTGTGTGAACAGACGCCTCTCTGCCCATCGCTGTTAACTGTTTACCTTGTGTGGTCGTTGTTAATGTTATTGTGATTAGTGGTGTTTAGATTAGGATAGTATTACGTTGAGCTGTTGTCCTCAAAGATAGCTGTGTTTTCTTACAGCCTCCTTTTGTTAGTTTGTTTTGTTTGTAAACCTCTATTTCTTGGGTTTGATCAGGCTCCTCCTTTTGTTAGAGTCCTCCTTTTGTTTGCTCCTCGCTAAACCGGCGCCCTTTTGGCCCTTTTTGTTTGTTCAGGCTGCATGCCTTCCATTTTGTCCTATCTGTTATATAATAAAACTATTTATAATTATTACCAATTCCAACTGGTGTATGTTGCTTTCCTCTTCCCCTAGTTGGGACGTAACAATGCATTTAAACAGTCCTTCGGCGCCACTCGATGACGTAGTGTACTTGAACTCGTGGCTCTGCAGCAGGTTTACTCGACATTGAGAAACGGCCAGTGCACCAGTTACGGGGGTTGTTGTTAGCATCTGGTGCTAGCTCGGAGCTAACGGAGATTAGAAGCTGCTTCAACAATAAGGAGAGGGAGAGCTCTCTCCTGTCGAACTGAGAGGCTGAGATAACTTCAGCTCAGGGAGGTAAAGGACTCTCTGAGCGATTAGATTGTAAACTTTAGTCTAAGTTATCTCAGTGGGTCTTAAACGGTTTGGTCATCTTTGTAAACAAATATTTCCATCTATTTAATGTAGTTGTAAAAAACAAGTTGAGAAATCATTCCAATATAGGTCAGTACAAAATAAAAAACACAGTTTAAAAAGGGGAGTGCTTATTCAAATATGCATAAATAAAAAGAAATATGCAGACTAGGTAAGATAAAGATAGGAGAGAGGAGTATATCAAATATTTTTTATTAGTTGTGAGAATATTCTAATGGTTTTTTGATTATTGAAATATATACAGTTCTGTTTCATATGAGTGTTGAGAGCTGTATCCATAAATCTCTTAATTTCCCCTCAAAGTGCACCAGATTGATGCATTTAACTTCAATTTAAAGAAAGATATCTTCCCAGGGGTGCATGCCCCCGGACCCCCCTAGAGGTGAGGTCCACCAACAAATAAAACAGGTTCACATGGATAGGATACTAGATAAATCTGCACACTCATCATATACACTACACATTTCTCTTGGACTTTTTAACACAATAGTCCCTAATATATTTGTAGAAAGGCAGGAAATGGAATTAAATCGAGAAAATGTTTCATTGCGGAGGACCCCCTGTTTTGTGTCCCCCCCCACTTCTCAAACCAAAGTTACACCCTTGCCTGCAGCTATGTTGGACTGAACATGTCACTGGGGCTGGACAATTCATTTAAGTTTTAGAAGAGAGCAAAATCCAAGTAAAGCAATTGTTGGTGAAGGCAAAATATGTAAAGAAATATCATTGTGAATATTATTGTGGAGCAGCGAATAATTCCCACCCTATACATGGTACTGTACAGACTTAATAAACCATCTTTGTTTGGTACTGAGCTCATAAAGTAAATCTCATTTGAACTGAGAATCATGTTGCTATTGCAATATCAGTCAAAAATATTGGCGAATTATGTTTTCCTCATCACTTGGTGTCCCTGGTTTCTATCTGTAACCCTTGGATGTGTGTGTTAACGATTGGAAAAACCTTAAAAGGGACTTTAAGCCTCGTAAATGTGTCCGTGTGTTTAATATGAAGACAGTTAACTTACCCCGTGCGCGACTGTCCTATCTTATCACATATGTCCAGAATGAGGCCCCAGTCTTCCGCTGTGTTCATCTCACTGGTTGCTTTCTCTGCAGGAGAGAAGCACCAGAACCAATGTAAGCATAACAACCGACAGATTTCATTTAGAGCCAGAAAGGAGAGGCGAGGATCCTCCTGTGTTCAGAAATAATAAAGCTTCTTGAAACAAAAAATGGTAGTGGCAAGCTGTGGGTGTGTATGTGAGATCCGCTGCTTTGTTTTTGTGTTAATCATAGAAATTAGCATAAACATTAGAGAGATACAGACAAACTAACGGAGGCCTTAAACAATACAACAGCTCTGCAGTAAATACCAATCTGAGTGAGCTCATAATGTTTGGTTTGTGTTGAGACTGTTGGTAGAATACATTTCACTTAACTGATTTGAGAGAGTAGCTTATACTATTTAGAAAGTGTGCTAATGAAAGCCTTTTATTCAGTGATGGTGGACAGTGTTGCCATTGGGGCTTCTCTGCTCTTTGGTATATGTCATGTGGGACTTCTCTACTTCCCAAAAAAAATACATAGTTGTGTACTTGAAGTGTCTTGTAATATACCTCGTGTTTTTCTCAAAAATCCACGAATAAAAGAGACTACAATAGAGATATGATGATATATACAATAGAGATCCTAAATTGTAAAATATAAATTGAATATAGACATTGAGATCTTAGATTAGAAAATAAAAGATGATATTTAAATACCCAATCACTAGTTACAAACATATGATCGCCAATAGTGAGAAAGAGATATCCATCAGCATGTTTATACAAAAACAGAACAAATCATCTCTGAAAAATCACTTGATCTGAAAAAACAGCTATTACTCCAAACACACCCATTATAAGCTTGGCCAAATGAGCATTTACTACTGATTTTAAGGGCTTTAGTTTTATAGGGTACTGTGTATCGAGGCGTATGCGGTCTACCACTAGCCACAACACAAAGAGAGAAAGGGAAGCGCAGTGTTTCACAAACCACTGCATCCTCTTTCACTTGCACAGCTGTGAGATGTCAGGCTCATCATATTGGTTAGCCAACATACGATGGGATGAAGTGAAGTGATGATGAGGCAGATGGCTAGCTGTTATTGCAGTAACGTGGACATTATGAATGCCTAATGCAACAATACATGTAAAGAATATGTTCTGTTAAAAAACGGTTAAAAATGCTCCGAGAAGAATAGTACTTATTAACCTTATACTATCAATTCTGTATGACCAATAACCATAGACTGTATTAAATAGACAATATATATAAGAAATATATAATTCTACAAATGATAAGCTATTGAAAACACCTGTCATTTTTGCTCAAAAGATTATATATTGTGTACAACTAATCTTAATGTGAAAATGTACTGTTAAATGTCATGATACAATTTCAAAATAATAAATATGACATTTAATTTATGACAAATGCATGACTATGGTAGATTTGACATAGGTGAATGCAGCATAACAAATGAACCCTAATTGAATTGGATTTGTATGTGAACAAATGTGTTTTATTTTAAATATCTGTATATATCTCCCAATTCAATCAAATTTTTTATTAATATTCATGTCTCTCTGAACCATTATAAGATAACATGAAATGCTTTATTGTCATTGTATGTTAAACACAACGACATTTAGTTTGGCAGCAATCCACTATACCTGGCAGCATATACATTTAAAACGTAAACTATGAATATTATTTATTATTATTATTGTTTAGCGCGTTTTCAATAACGAGTGAGAAAACCGTTACTTCAGTTATTTGATGATAACATCTCTGCCCCAAGTCAAGGTAACCTGCTTACCTGCTTATTAAAAAAAAAGTAAAATAAATATTAAAAGCTCTTTAAAATCGCAAACACTCTGAACAATTGTCTGATATTGGTTGCGGTTTGCTAACAGCTAAATATACATAATATAAGGGTGGAAGCTAGTTAGCCAACTGTGGCTAACAGAGCGAATCACAACAAACACAGGCAAAACAGACATTAATCATCTTAACAGGGATTACATATTGTCAGCTCATACAGCCTACATTATATACAACTAGACCGACCTATAGTATTATTACTATAGCTCGTTGGGGGTATATTAAAGCTACAGCCAGCTGAATAACACAAACAAAGCTGTGTTATCAAAGCTAATGTTTAGCTAGCCTGCTAGAAATAGCCTCCAGTTCTGATTACTCACCAACATCTTGGTCAAAAGGGTTGGTCGTGAAGAGAGGCATTGCTGGCGTACTGACAACAACAGATTTCCCCTTCCTCTGTTATTTTCGTTCCCTCTTTTATCTTATTTCATACAATAAAGTCGCATAGTAACGGTAACTTCATGAATGTCAAATGCAGCTGAGTCTATTCTACACAGTCACTCCTTCGACAGACGGCAACAAGCGAAGCATTCTGGGTAATCGGAGCGGACAGACGCTCGTTAAATGAACTGCTCTCATCAACTGTTGTTGAATTCATAATTTTGATTGTCTCAGTCACCTCGGTTGCTAATGCTTTGGCACTGACTGTTCAGGGGAGAAAATTGATCAAAAGCTTCAAAGTGTCCTAAAATAACAAGGATGTCACGGTCAGGTGATGGTGACCATGTGACATTATCTCATCGCTTTTAGACCCAGACCACAAAACCCACTTGACCTGTGCTTAATCTTTTTTTTTCTCAGCAGCATCAAGGATCTTTTTTTCTTCGGTACATTCATTCGTCCTGGTATGATGGAGATAGTTAATAATGTCCATCCTCATTACAAAATAATGCAATAGGCTTAGCTACAGTATTTTACTAATAACCAGGTATATCAGTCACTGATTTTAGACTTAAATAACTGTTCATTTCAAAATACCATTCGCCACCTCCTTCATGTATTCAATATTAATTTATTTGCACAATTAGTTTATACAATTTACAGAAACACTTGACTTGTGTCTTGTTTCTATCATTGTCGCTCATCATACAATACATACATTTTTTTTGACCTATTGCTTTTGACATAATGGTTGTGTTATTTATGTTAATAATTGTTTTACCATTCTATGCCTTGTTGCCATTGTTTTGAGCCATACGATTGTTTATTTTTATCTTCTTATGATAAATGTTAGATGTATTATTGATGATACTGCTTTTAATATTCTTAAGATGTTTTCCTTGTCAAATCGATATATATTTAAGCCAAATACCATTTACATAGCTGAACCTTTTTTTAATTTAAACTTTATTATTTCCAGATTTTGTTTAAATTTTTTTCAAAAGCTGAAAAATAAATAAACAGTTTAGATGTGCATGAGGGTGTTTTTGTTTTTTTAAATACACATTCAATAAAGAAATACATGGCTTTTTCATACCAATATCTATTTTATAGGACAAAAAGCACTGACTCCACATACAGTTTCTTTCTCATTTTATTGTGATCCATAGGAACTTGGTAAATTCATTCAGGCATACTGATCATTAAGACAGATTACAAACTGCTACTCAGTCTTTAAGCATATTTTGAATTAGAAAAGGTTGATCATACAACAATAGGATATGATTATGCAAATTATAAAAGTGTAACATACTTCACATACACTATTTAGCATAATGAATACATCATTGTACTGTACAATGGCACATTCACAAGAAATGTACATATTGTTAATGTGTGCCTCTTACTGGCAGTCTAAAGTCTAAAAACACTGTCCTTCATAAAACAGCAGCACTTCTCATATTGAGCAACTATTCTCAATAAGCAAAATAAAATACATTGATACTTAGTTTGTATAAAGGTGAAATATACACTAACTTCATTTCTACCTATCATGAGAGTTTGCATTCTTTTTCTAATACTAATTTGGTGCTCATCATTTACCAGAGAACTTATTTCTAATCAATGCTCTGAATCTGAAAAGTATTTGACAGTATAAAAATAGTTCATTTTATTAACAACAAAATCCTCTAATGTAGATACATTTTATTTTGTAAGTGTGAAGATAGAAAAGGCAGCCAGGAAATAAAACAATATGAAATTAAATCGCAAAAAACAATGATTTCTGGTATCTTTTGTGATAAACTATTTACAGATACACCTGTACAACAGAGGCTGCCCAAAAAAATGAATAAGTATCGGCTAAATAAAACGTACGTTCACATGAATCCTTCAGCACTAAATCATAAAAAGTCGGCTTGGTCTGGGCCTGCTCGGAATTTTGCACCACGATGTGTTGTAAAGTGCCTTTAAGACAAAGACCAGTCTGAGTGTCAGTGATGCTTGACTGGTCTGGCATTATCAGAGTCCTCCAGTCATCTAGAGCTCCTCCTCTTGTCCTTCATTATCCTCTTCATCTTCAGCCTCTTCACTTTTCTCCCAAAGACAGCTCACACTGTCAGACATGGATGCTATAAAACAGGAACTACCACTGTGAAGAGAACAACAAAAAACACATTAGGTATATGTCAACACCTTTATATGTTGCTTACACTCTGCTACAGTAACAGTTGAAGCAACAGCAATAATCTGAAATGTTATTTTAACTAAAGAAATCTACGCCAGATGAATCTCCCTCTTCTTTTTCAAACAAGAAAGAGCTGAATGTAACTCGATGGTTTATTTCCAGCTCCCTTACATTCAAGAATGTATTACGAAAGCCCTGAGAGGCAAGTTAGAAAACTACATTCAGATCATCAACTTCAAAAAAGTCTGACCTAAAATGTTTTCTTTCCTCATTCTATTACTTAAGAACAAGTGGAAAAGGTTCTGCTTGGATGTAATTTCTGAGTTGTTTTAAATTATATTTGACATAAAACATTTATATTTTTCAAGTGAAAACTGAATTTGTTTTTCTTTTGGTCAAGTTTGTTGTTGTAATACTTATTTCGTCCACAAGAGACTGAGGTCGAAAACTACAACAGGCTTAGTAGGAAATACAGAAATAGGAGATTTCCAAATTGGAAAAAGGTCTGATCTATAAAAGGTACTGACGGTCAACCGAGGCACGTTCACAGATGAAGCCGATGCGGTCGGTGCAGTAGAAATCATTCCAGTTGGCGTTATGGATGAGGCCAGCACAATCCTCGCCTTTGTCATGGCCATGGGTCCAGTTATCAGGTTGACCGGGCTTCCACTTCCTGATAGCAACAACATCGTCAAAATGTATTAAAGTTAAACAGAACATTTAAATCACTGAAATTTATTTTTGAAATAAATGTGGCCGGTCTACTGACGTGAAAGCAGGTAAGGTTCCATCCACCCATTTCCAGACATTTTCCTCCTCCAAGTCAGTAAGGCCCAGCCAGAAATAGCCTCTTCCTGCAGTTACATCCTTTACAAATTCCTACAAATAGAAGAGCAAAACATTATTTCACTGGATTAGTTTAGCATACAAGTCTGAATGTATTAAAGTAACCATCTGGGTCTGATTTCCATTACCTGTTCGTCGTTGTCGTTGATAATGAGCATCAGGGATGACATGTTGGTACAGAACTGTTTGGACTCTTCAAAGTTGAGCCTCTGAGTGGAGATGTAATAGCAGCTGTCTCGAACCCTTCTGTACCCAGTTGGACAACCTGGATTAATCATTTACAGCAAACAGTAGTATAAGTACAGAAAGAATCCCATGGAATACGTTCCAAATGTGTAAATAATAATAATAATAATTACAAATAAATGTATATATTTTTTAATAATGTCTTTTTTTCCAGTGAAGGACAGATTCAGTATGGGAGAGGATGAGGGCCACATGAAAACAGAAAACATTTTAGGATGTGACCAAAACTAAACTCACTTCCGTAATGAAATGGTGTTACAATCGAAAAGTAGATTTTCCTTCCATTTCGATCTATTTTAAACCCTTATGTAATTTAACTCACCAGGCGCTGGTTCAATGACCTGGGTCTGCCGGGACACGGTGCCCTCAGTTACCTCTGCTGCTTTTGAGGGTTGAGGTTTGGGGGGTTGAGGTGGTTTTGGAGGCTGAGGTGGTTTTGGAGGTTGAGGTGGTTTGGGGGGTTGAGGGACCTTAGCTGGCTTAGTGGGCTGTGGGGGCTTTGGAGGATTTGGAGTTGGAGGTCTATATGCAGGTAACCCAGGAAGTCCTGGAGGACCGGGGGGGCCGATGGGTCCGACGGGCCCACGAGGTCCTTCCAGCCCTGCAGGACCAGCTGCTCCTCTGGGCCCCTGTGGCCCTTGAGTTCCTTGCGGCCCTGCCAGTCCATCCCTACCAGGAACCCCAGGAGCGCCCGCATTGCCCTTTTCACCAGAATTTCCAGGTCGGCCCCCAGACCCTCTCGATCCTTTGGCCCCGGGAAGACCCCGAGGCCCGGCTGCACCCTTTGAACCTGTTGCCCCTGGTAGACCAGCAGCACCTTTCTCTCCTTTAGATCCCACCAATCCCAGCACCCCTTTGTCTCCTTTATCGCCCTTTTGTCCTGACTGACCCACTGGCCCCTGGGAACCCTTGTCACCCCTGGGACCCCTTGGACCTGGCGGACCTGAAACACAATAACAACAGATGATGTGTCAAAATGTGATGTCACCGTCATGATAACTATAAACACTATTATTGTGTTTTAAAGATCATCTCATTCCACTGACATAATGATCATACTGTATAATAGCATAATAATAATGCAAGAACAATAAGGCACCCTCACAAAAAGCATCTTAATGCTTAGAATATTCTGATATTGGAATTGAATGAAATATATAAGTTTTGTGATGGTACAGAAAACCCTGCTGTTTATTCTGGCATCATAAAACTGACATTCAATTATGCATGGTAACACAAAGGGCATTGTGGAGGTCAGCAAAAGGATCAAGGTCGTGTACATATATTGTTCAATTAAGTCCATAACTTAATTATTTTAACAGTCCTAACGTTTTTTTTTTACACAGGCTCACAGGAAACTAACTCTGAAATGTATGGTTTATTCTGTTCTTACCTTGCAGGATGGTGAAGTTGGTGATGAGCTGTGTATGCTTGCTGTCCACCAGCTTCATCTCCTCCATCACAATGGAGAGGTTGTTGACCTCTTGGTCCAGCCTGGACACCAGCACATCCTGCTGTGCGCGAAGCTCTTTATTGTCTTCGCTGGCCTCTGTTACACTATCATTCAGCCCCACTAAAATGTCTGAATGTCTCATCACTGTCTCAGCGCAGGACCTCAGGCCGTTCAGCTTAAAGCTGATGGCACCGAGGAGCTGCGAGGTGAAGCTCACATTTCCGGTCACACGGTCCATGTCATTCTCATGTCTGTCTAACCGCGCTTCCACCTCATCAAACTTAGATGAGGTGATGTCATCGTGGTCTCTCTGGCTGTCCATCAGCTCATGCAGGCTCTGGCCTTGCTCCTCACTGAGAGCCGAGGTGTTCTGGATCTGGCTGGTCAGGGTATTGAACTGAGCCCCCAAATCATCCAGAGCATCTCCGTTTGAATGGGCCATGGCTGAGTTATTAGCTGCCAAAACCTGCAGGTGCTGGACTTTCTCCTTCAGCCACTCCGTGTCAGACCGCGTCTGCCAGGCTGTCTGCTGCAGACCCTGATAGTCATTCTTCAGTTTCTGCACCGCCTGGCCTGCGTCTTCCACCGTCTTCTGCAGCGTGCCGAGCAGATTGCGCTGCTGGGACTGGGTGATGTTCAGCGAACTGATACTAACCTGGGTCTGGCTCTGCACTTTGACCTGGCCCTGTATCTCCGTCTGGAGCCGTGCAGTGTCTGTCTGGAGGTTGTCAATCATGCCGCTGTAGGATGTCAAGGTCTGGTTGACCCCACGCAGTGAGGCCTCGTTGCCTTGTATAAAACTCTGCAGGGAGACGTGTCCATTCTGCATGTCATCTCCTGTGATCTGAAGCTCATCCAGCGCGTCTCTGTTTCTGGTTGCCCTGAGAGCAATGTCATTCAGCTGGTTCTGTAAAGCCTCCAGGTCTGACTTAAAAGTATTGATGTTACTTGTGGCATTACCTGACTTGTCTCCAGCCTGATCATCTGAAAAAATAACACAGTAAAATATGTCTGTTAATAGAAAACGAAACATGGTAAATTATCAGCGTCAAAAATCTCCTGCTTGCAGAAATTTAACATTTAGTTCACAGCTATTGTGAGTTCAACTATAAATGTTTGATCTAGTCTTGCGTGACAGGGCTTACCTAGTTTCTTCAGGTCTGTCTCCACTGCATTTATCTGGCCTCCATAATTCTGCATGCCCTGTGTGACATTGTCCATCCTCTGGACCACTGGTGATAGAGAGAAGACACTGTGTGAATACATCTTTACAGGATATACACTAACAGGGGAAAAGGCAAAGTTAAGTTAAAGTATTTTTCCTTACTGTTTGGTAAGAGGAACCCTTATTATAGTATATCTGTTAAACCTGTTGTGTAAACAGTATTTACTGAGCCAAGCTGATTGTGAACAGCAGAGGGTGCTGCAGTATTCATTCCTCTACAGTTAATAACTGTACACTCAAACAGCAATTCTTTACACAGGATGTTAAAAACATGAAAGACTTTCCTACGTTTTTTGTAACCGAGCAACTGAGTATTTTTTTATCATTACAAGTCTCAATTTTCAGAGCACATTTACAATTTCCACTTCAGGAGTAACTATAAACAATGTCAGACACATGATGAATAGCACACTCTGACTCTGGCTCAACTCTCTTTTCTCATCACATCTGCAGCAAAGAGTCCATCTCCTCTCCTCCGTTATGTGGGGGCGTCTAAAAACTGCTGGAAAACATCCTTAGCTTTCACTGTTAGAATTCCAGAAGTGACAAAAACACACAAGAATAACATGAACCGAGAACAAACGAGAACACACAGTCCAAAGAGATGTTTGTCAAAAGCTGAAGTTGTTCAGCTTGAGCCTCATGGTTTACCCTGCAAATTAATTTACATTTGTAAATAGTGAGAAATATATATTGTATACATTATTTGAGATGACTACAGTATATTGCTACAGCACTGAGATGATAATAGTGACATCCGACCCACACTATCATGTGTAAAATACCTGCTTATTCCTCTCTTTCCATCCCACACAGTCATGTATTGGAAAAGCATTATTGAGTTATATAAGGTTACTAATTTGAGTAAGGCTTATCGGATTTCTATTGTGAAGTTGTAAACTATGCTTAGGCTGTTACCCAATACGAGGCCAAGCAGATTTATGCTGATCAATGCTGCAGTAAACGCTTATTGACCCAGCAGCAAACACAAACAATGCCTTCATTCTAACAATAGAGGTCATTTGGAGGACCAAGACCAAGAAACAGGTTCATTAGTATAGAAATAAACTGTTGACTGTTTAAACTGTGCAGTAAGGGAAAACACAACACAGAAACCAGCCTTCACTGTTTTTTCTCCCAAACTATTTTGGACACTTTCAGCCATTTGTGAGTGAACCTGTGGTTCATGAGACAACAAATTGCTACCAAGCCATAAAATCTACTCTGGGTTGTTAAGCCAGGGTAGATGCTGCGTGGTCATCTGTTAGACATTAGAGCCAAACCACCACAATCACATGGGCTCCACACAAACACAGACCAAATTCTGCAAACCCAAAACAATCCAGAGAGCACTCGAAGGGCACAACTCAGATTTAGATCTGAACTTGTAGACATTATTTTGAATAGACTCATTCCTCACTGGATGGATACAGCTTGTTTCTGTTGGGTGAGCTGTATGCTTCACCAGGTAAGAGCGCCTGTGGATCAGGTATGAACAAAAACATTCTGCTCAAAGACTTTCATTTTTCTATGATTGATCGGGGCAAGAAATGTCTGACGTTGAACCGTACGCAGAGTAATGTTCCATATTGATGGTTTCTGAGATATCTGGAGTCCTTTTTTTGTTTCTATGTAACATCATTGCCCTGTCTCAAACAAGGAGAAACCGTAAAACGGGTTGCAGGAAGGACAATGTTGCACAATGAGTTTATTTTCAATCTCGAGATCTGGCCAATCTCCGAAAGATATCAATTCAGAGTAAACAATGCATTCTGTCAAGGGAGTCTCATGATGTGGTAAATCTTAGCCTGAACTCTCTGACTTGGTTAAATATAATTGTCTATGCTGTTGCCGTCTATAGCCGTTTGACTATCATCAAACCTCAGAGAAAAAGAGAGACTCAGAACGATTAGACCTGGAGAAGAGGAGGTGAAGGAAAACTGCTTAGACTACATATTTCCATTTTGATACTTCATTTATATATTACTTTGTCAACATCTACACAAATCCTTTACTGTATAAGATAATTTACAAATGTGTTCATCAAAAGGGACTAGATAAGAATACGCTGGCCACTCTTGAGTCTGTACTAAGGCAAGTTATGCTGGAAACCTAATACCAAGGCCAGCATGCTAAACATTTTTACAATAATAATGTTTTTCCATGGTCACAATCTTAGTTTAGCTTTTTGAATGTTGGTCTTGAGTTTGACTTGATTATGAAACTAGATGAAGAGTCAGGAGATCACTAAAGTCAGTACGAAATATCCTCTGAATTATAAACAACATTTTAGGGCAATCTTAAATCAATCAATGAAGTGTATTTATATAGCACAATATCACACATTTTACGTTTGTCTCAGGGGGCTTTACAGTTTGTAAACATTTGGCTCAAAACAACCTAAAATGTGTAGAAATAACAAATTAATGCATTAGAGAAGCACCATTTAATATTGTCTGATACCAATACCAATTACGAGATTGGACTTGTGAAGGTACATCTAGATATGTACCTGGGATTAAAGCCGAGTCTTATTGCCTTATTTGAGTAATTATCTGTCAAATAGAGGGCTATATGTTGGATTTTTGTAATGGGACAACAACTTTAAAATATGTGAAGCTGTCAAGGTTTGCAGCAGAGACTTGAAAAACTGCAGTATTTTACGAGAAGTGATTATTGTCTTCAGTTTTGACTCACCTTTGTATCCGAGTACGGCCACTGCTATGGTGAGCAGGGTGCAGAGCACATATAGCAGTGCTATAGCCGCCCTCAGTGCCCAGTCATTTTTACACTTGGTGCACTCCGAACCCTCCTGAATTCCTGCAACATACAACAGAATTGGTGTCAACAATTGTTTTAAAGTGTGCAGTTAGTGTGCCAAATGCTACAGTAGCAACAGAGGACAATGTTAAGAAACAGTAGAAACTCAAATATTGTGCAACTGGAGCCGGGAGTTGAAAAAATCCGGTAAAGTTTTTAATTCAAAGATCAAATCATAAGGGATATTTTTTTCATTAAGTTTAGTGTGTCTAAAACGGGACACGCTGTGCCTTTTTTCAGCCAAGTATCAATTGAAAACATTTGCTCTCATGAATATAAGACTCAGTTTGAAACTTTAAAAACACTGCACATGTGTTCACCATATGAATGAGAAAGCAAAACAAAACAGCATTCTTCATTCTGTGTCATTGCTCGTAGTCATTCAGCCTAAAACTACGGTGCAGTGACATTTCTGGTTATACGTGTCAAGGATGTTCACTAGTTTTAACATTATGTCCTGAAAGCCTCTAACACCATGTGATACAATGCTAAACATTATACTATAGCAGGGTGTTTACTTGACTTCATTAGAACCAACCATGGAGCCTCTGGCAGGCAGAGAGGGCAGCTGGTGTACATTCACAACAGGCAATAAAGATCGTTCTGGAGATGGAGCAAACTTCAAATCACGTTATATAGTAAGAGAGAATTTGTGTAAACCATTAAAAGTGTACTAGAAAGAAAAGGTTAAAGAATATTTAATTGTTTGGGCAAAAAAAAAACTGTTAAAAAAAAACGTTTTTGTTACATTAAACCTGTCTTCAAATCTGGGCTTTTCAATGTGCAACCAATAGAAAAACTATTATGTTACTATAATGTTCTTTCTGGCAATGATATTGTGCTCAATAAAATGTATTGCTGAAACTATAAACTGAATGGCATCGCGAAAAAATAGGAGCCACTCGAAGCAGTTAGACAATAATAGTACCAGCTGAAGTTGATCAGCCATACCTGTTTATTTCAAGGATAAACCAAAAGTGAGGACATCTGCACTGGGAAAACCCTTTATTGCAAAGAAAAACAGTGAGTGTGCATCACTTTGGCAACTACAGTAGATACAGTTGGTCTTTGTTTTGTCTTGTCTAATCAGTCTGTTTGATTATAACCTCTGATCACCAGACTGATGTATTTGCTTCCAAGTGAAACCATTTCCATCATTTCACAAGTTTGCCTTCACACTCAAACATACCCCTTACATTTCGGCTGAATCATCGTTTCCACTGGGGGAAGCTACAACAAGCCCCAGCTGGACTGACATGTTCATGTGACTTCAGGGTATCAGGGGGCTGACATGTATCAGAGGCCTGTCTCTGTCCCTACATGTCAGCCCCGCCCCCCCCCATGATGGGACTGAAAGTGCAGCCACAAGAGGCTCCATCCTGCACAGTGAGGGGTGGGCTGGACCACCAGAGGGGCACTGGGGGGTTTGGCCTCTCGGCTTTGGACCCACACATCTGTGCAAACATCACATCTGACCACCTCATCGGGGCAGGCGACTGTTGTCCTTATGTGTGCTGAGAGCCTCATGTTGGGAGTCAGTGTGGAGAGCTGCATCAGAGCCCCCCCCCCCCTCAATGGTCCGGACCACATGCTGCTTAAAGGACAACATCACACCATGTAAACAAGCAGCCGACCGCCAGCATGTTCTGGGTCAAGAGCAAAGCGGGGGTGGTATCTCTGTGTTAGAGTTCGAAAACAAAGGCAGTATCGTTTCTGAGACCCTCATGCTCTCAGGTTCACTGAATTTCTAAAACATGTTCACCCCTTTCACTCAGGCATGAGCCATTAAAGATGTTTTAATAACTAACTTTCCACAAACCTCCCAGTACTAAAATATAAGTTTAACAGTTTCTTCAAGGTACAATGCCCCCACATACCTTTATCTATTAGACTGTACTGTATGTCAGATTGTTATTAAATACTGAAAATGACCTAAACATGACTATTTCTGTCATCGTTCAGCACTTTAACACTGTGTTGATAAATTAACTCACTTTGATATTAAAAAAAATAAAAATGATTTGATTAAAAGAGATGAACTCTCTGAATTTGCTGTTTCCATCTTGATTTTTGATATGTCCAACAACATTATAAGTTCAACACTAAATTGTTGGTATGTTCCTTACAGACAATGTTTAAAAGTTTAAACAGATGGGAAAACCAAAAAAAAACGGGTTTTACAAACTGCTCCAAAGTGAGGGGGCAGAAATGGAAAATGTTTTGGGATTTGACTTGGCACATGGATGTTCAGACCATTTGCACGTCCGAGAAACATTTTTCTAAGATGGTAAAATCATAACCGAAGATGAAAATGATTAAACTGTCAGGACTTTGACGTTAACATTCCACATGCTGCGCTGCAGAACCTGGCAGGTTAAAAACCCAGACTGTCATGTTCTCACAGCAACGATGCTTCCACAGAAATAACAAGGAAACTAATTCTGGGCAGAAAAGCATGAAGCTCATTCCAGGGACGCAACATTTTCCCACTGCTTGTGACAGGAGTGTTTTCCGTTCCCCTCTAAGGGATTTTGCTAAAGCAACAGATCTTACAGCGATGTAGCATAAAGTAATAATGAAAGTCAAATTGCTTCCAAGGTAGTTTCAGTTTTGTGTTACAATACAAACCAGTGGGGTTTTACACACTCTTTACTCATACTTTTGTTTTACTTATCTTCAAGCAAACTGCTCTTGATTCCTACTTTCCTTGAGATACAGAAATAATGTATTTTGATGAGTATTAGTTGAATGAGATATTCAAACACATTTGATGGCACTTCTGTTTTTTGACTTGTGCTGTTTTCTGTATATTTACGTCTGTATTACTAGATGCGGTCCAAATAGTTACTAGATGGCATGCTTGGTCATAATTACATCCACAGAGGATCTTAAGGTATGTTGAGGTCATCATGGTAAAGTAATAAAACATCAAATGAACTGATAATGTGTATTACGGTAGTCTGATGATGATAAACCAAGCATGCTACATCAAAGCCTTTGAAATTCAAAAGGATCATGTACAATCTTTTCAAGGGTCAAAAAAATGTTGATAAAGAAATCAACTTAAGACTCAAAATCCAGGTGTCAACATCATTTCTTCTTTGCGTGTGCTGCTTAGTACATTTTGTGTTACAACCCCCCGTGGTGTACCTCATTCAGTAAGTGTGTCGTGTTTCATATCCACAGGGCCATTGAGACTTCTTGCTGTCCACGCATAAACTACCACAGTACTGTATATAAAATGCTGACACATACATGTCATGAGCTGTATGAAAACACATTGCCGAACTAAACGACCCGGTGCAGAACACGGTAGGACTGTTGAGAGTTAGAAAGCTGGACGGCAGCCAGGACGTCCCAATCAACAAGATGGAATCCGGCCATATTATCCTCAAGAGGAAAATAAATGCCAGAAAAAGCCTTAAAAGAGCAGAGGTAACATGGAGCATACTGTATCTTACATGTTATGGCTGTCAACTGTGAAACATGCAGCTCCAGTATTGGCCTGTTTTTGTTTTTACGCGATCATTTATGGGCTGAGTTTATGAGCCAAGACAAAAACAAGCTCAAATTCGCAAAAGCTGCGATACACATGCATCCATGCGTTCATGCATTCACACACACACCGAACTTCATAAACCTTTTATGTTCTGACTCCTAGGGCAAGAACTGGGGCTGCCAAAAGGTGGGAAAATGACTGTGAAGCAACCGTCTGTTGATCACATCTAATTATAACTATGAGCATTAATCTCAAAACATACTTTACAGCCATGTTAGTGACGTGGCAGTTAACTTTCTTGGCCTGTCAGTCTATCCAACAATTTGGACAGATCAACATATCATCAATTTAGATAATGGGTTTAATTTATAACGCACTTCATATCTGAGTTCAGATCCCGAAGTACTAGATAACCATAAAACGTGGTAAAGATATTCACTGTGTTCTTTTAAAATCAATCTTTAAATCTGCTAGATGGATTGTCAAGACAAAGAATGGCACCCTGTACAGGTATTTACTTAAAAACAAGCAATATTATCAAGTCAACAACTTTAATTTGTTGAATTCTGTGTCTTATTACCAAACACCTGCAAAGCTACTTACATTTCCATCAGCATTACTTTATATTTAGTGCCATTACATTCACACTAGCTTATAAGTAAACACAGAAAACCCAATAACTTACAATAACATCAGAAAGTTAGCATTGTCATTGTGAGCATGTTAGCATGTTGACGTTAGCATTTAGCTTAAAGCACCCCTGTGCTAAATGACAGCCTCACACACAGAGACTCTTAGGTAAATAAAAAAAACTTAGAAAAAGAAAGAATTTGAATAAACATTTGTTTGTACTACTTCTAAGAAGAAGTTATGTTTGAGCTTTGTCTTTGTTTATTAGCTAACTGTTGTGAAAGTGTAGGACGGAGGCAAAAAAACAGGAATGAGGAAAATAGAGGCAGAGAGAGAAAGATGGTACCTCCATCTTTCTCTCTCTGCCTCTTTTTTCCTCATTCCAGTGTGGTGTCTGTAAAACAGCTGTATTTTATTTGGACAGAGTCAACGAAAAAAGAAAAAAAATCAACACTTATTCTCTTATTCCATGTAGCCTACCTGCCGGCCTGCATGCCCTGTCTCACTCCTGGCTGGCAGTGGAAACTTCCACTGCAACACAAAGAAAGCCTGTACAGACTCAAGCATTTTTGTGTGAAGACCCTTTGTGCAGAGTGTTAATACTATGTTATATACAGTACAGGGTGGCTACCACAGCAAAATCTGGTCACAAGCCAAAACCCAGGAGTCGCACAGACAGGCCATGCCTACTCTACCTGAATGGACCCTGGCACATTACAATGCTGCCAATTTCTGCATTTTTCTGTGACATTTTCAGAGGGAACACACATATTTTTTATTTAGAGTGGTTACGCTACTATGTGCTGTCCGTCCACAAATGTACAAACTGTCATAACTACAATTACATCTAATTTTGGCTCATGTTAAGTTT